ACTTAAATTTAGTTTCTGGCAGGTTTTAATTTCAAGTAAAAGTAGCTTTTCTTTGTCTTTCAAGCACTTGAATATACTTTTTTCCCATCACCATTGTATTTGACAGTTGCCTGATGTGGCACAGAGCAGGCTGCTCACCCAGGTCTGCTGCTTCTCCCGGGATAGGCACTTGCGCAGTGTCCCAGGCTGTCATGAGGTAGCTGTGACCATGTGGCTGTGCTGCAGGCAAGGGAGTCTGAATGGGACTGATGTGTAGCGATGCACCTGCCTTTTGAAAACATCCCCTCCTCTTATTAACGGTGTTGGTGTGGTGATGGTTGAGGGTGGTGAGGAATGACGCTGGAGGTGGGCACAAAGCCTGTTTTGCAAGGCCAAGCTGAGGGCCGCAATGTGAAGGCGAGGTCACTGAGTGACCCACAGACAGCATAGGACGGACTTTGGGGACATGTCTTGGTTATAGACACTGAAGGCAGGAGGGTGACATTGACAGAAGGGCTTGGTACTGACTGGCCGGGAGGCCTAAGAAAAAGGGAAGGCAAGGGTCAGGCAAGGTGCTGGGCACTGATGCCACCCCACGGGCAGGTGTGCCCCTCAGAGGGATCTCACATTCCAACACGGGATTGAAAACGTTGTATGACCTGAGCCCAGCCGTCAGTGCTTACTTCCCTAAAATGTGGGGAGACTGCTTGATGAGCTCTCCGGGGTGGGTGTGTTTTCATCACAAATGGGCAATCAGTGTGATGTTTTGTTTGCTTGTTTTTCCATTACCCTTTAGGTAACATTGAGATGAGAGGTACAGGGGTCAAGTTACTTAATTATTTTTAAAAAATTTCAACATGTACATCTTACTGTAATTTGGTTTTATGCTTCTGTTCACAAATAACATTATTTACCTGCAGGCAGAACAGAGTAAGCATGAATTCTAAGTGGATAGTTGATTCACAGCTTTCTTTAGAATTCTAAAAAGGTGTCAGAGTTGAGAGTTGCCAGTGTAAAGTCTTTTTGCCTTAATGCCTTTTCACATGCTTTACTACTGGCTGTTATCATTCTTACAGGAAAGGAACAGTTAGGCTGAGCTCTCAGACTTCTGATTCATAGCAATAATTGACATTCCAAAAAGGTACCTGTCAAAGGTGAATGAGGACCCAGGTCCAGATGATATTTGAGCATTATACTTCCTAGCAAAGCAAGTTTTTAAGTAAAGGGGGAAGTTGGCTGTGAGGACTCCCTGGATTTGACTTGTAGGCTAATATTTTGAGATCTTTTCTGTCTACATGCATATTATTAGTTTCAAAAACATACAAAGGTAAGGCGAGAATAAATCGTTGCCCACAGACTTTCTATCCCTGACCTTTTCTTGTGCACTTTCATTTAGAATTAACCCATAATGTGGTAAGTGAACTGTAAAAAGCATTTGACAATGCTAAAATTATACCCATGTAAAAATTCTCAGATTCATGATACTTGGCTATCAGAAAGCCTTTTTGGTATTTAGTGTCTATGTTAAACTGCAAGTAGAATGTTGCCTTTAATGAATTTTTCAAAAAAAACATTGCTTAGTTGATATGTCTTGCCTATTTGGGAATTACATGACAGCATTAAAATATTAGAAATTTCATTTAGATTTTACACTTTTTATTCTTTCTCACATCTTGAATTTAAACAATTATAATTTATGTACTAGATCTAACTTTTTATTGAGCTTTTTTTCCCTCTTGGCCAAATGTGGATTTTTTGTTTTTCAAAAAAATCTTCAAACTAAATGTTTATTTTTCATAACATCGTTCCATAATTCCTAGGTAAACCTTCATGGTGCTAGGCAAAATAAATCTTCAGTTTCACTAAAACACAATTCTGATTTTGGTTGGTGACATTCTTTCCTTGCCAGGTTTTTCCTATTTAGGTCTATGATTTTTTTTTTTTTTTCTATAACACCATCTGTCTACTCTTTTATCTTGGAAACCGCTAGCATTCTTAGGCTAATGTGTAGGGAAGTGAGGCATATTCCAGAACACAAATGTATGCTCTATATTATTTAACCCACATTGTATGACTAAGGATGTCCAAGGCTTATCTTATTCTGAGCAGCACTAAAGCAAAATTTCCTCTCCTCTGATTCTTTTTTCAAAGTAACACTAGCTTAGAACACATGTAGATTTCAAGTGTATAGCCTTATAAATTAGCATCTGTGTACACTGTATTATGTTTACCAAAAGTCTAGTTTCTACCCATTGACATACAAATATATGTACCCCTTTCCCTTCTAGTAACTGTTATATTGTTTTTTAGAATCTAGATTATATTTTTAATCTTCACTTGAATGAAATCATGGTATTTCTCTTTTTCAGTCTTATTCCACTTAATGTAATACTCTTAAGGTCTAGCCGTTGTTATGGCAGAGAGCAGAATTCTATCTTTTTTGTAGCTGTGTGGTATTCCATCATGTAAAGAAGACTCCTTTGCTTTCCAGCTCATCTGTCCATCTGTCTAGCTGGCTTTTTTCAATTTTTAAACATTGCTGCTCCAACCCTTCACTCTCCCCCCTCCCCCTGAAAACATTATTTTTTAAAAAAAGTGTATTTTGAAATTATAGATTTACATGAAGTTGTAAGAAATAATACAGAAAGGTTCCAGTTGTATTTAATCCACTTTCTCCTGTAGTAACATCTTGCTGAATTTAAGCACAGTATCCCAACCAGGATCTCATTGAGATTTCCCTGGGCCTACGTTGACTCACTTGTATGGGTACATGTATTTTCAGTTGTATACTGCTTTGTCTTGTGTGGGTTTCTGTATCTGCCACCACAGACCACTGCTACCCCCACACAGACCTCTGCATGCCCTCTTAAAAAGACACCCTTTCCTTTCCTAGCCTACTCTTTGTCTAGGACAGTTCCTGACCTCATCTGTTACAGTTTCTAAACTTTTGCATTTCCAAAATGTTATATAAGCAGAATCGCACACTCTATAGTTGACCTTCTCTTGCTCATCCCATTTCCTTGGATATTCATACAGGTGCTGTGTATATCAGCAGGTCATTGTGTTCTTTGGAAGAGGAGGGTGGTTTATGGTATGGACATATCATAGATTGCTCTCTTCATCCGCTGAAGGGTACCATGGTTGTTTCCAATGATAGGTTATTACATATAAAGCCGCTCTGAACATTTTTGCATGTTTATATGTCAGCATAAATTTTTCCTGTAATAAATGCCCAACAATGCTGGGTTTTATAAAAATTGTTTAGTTTTATAAGAAACTGTCAAACCAGTTGCTAGGATGGGTGTGCCATGTCATTGCCACCAGCAGCGAGTGATGGTGCTCTGCGGTGGTTTCTGTGCACTGTGCCAGTACTAGGTGGGGCTTTTTTTTTTTTTTTTATTCAGACAGGTATGTGATCCATGATTTCAGTTTATTTTTCATCTTTGCCAGTCAGTTGTCTTTTTTTTTTTTTTTTTTTAATTTACTCTTGGGTCCTCCCTGGTGGCACAACAGGTTAAAGTGCAGCAGTATGAAGCTAGCCACAGCCACAGCCAGTTCAGCAGACGTTCAATCCCCAGTCAGGGAGGTGACGCACATGGCACAGCAGACCTCTCCTGTCTCTCCTGCTGCTCTCCTCAAGTGTACTTCATCAGTCTGCCTGTTCTGCTCCCCAGTCTGTCTCCGGTGAAGCCTCTCACTGCCCCTGCGCCTCTGGCCTGTACTCCAGTTCTGTATGCACAGATAATTATTTTTAAAAAAATTTGACTTTTTGTACCACTGATTTTTTTTTTTTTGCCTGAGATTTCTTTTTTTTTTTTCTGCTTTGAATTTCATTTGTTTTCACTTTTTACTTCCTTCAGTTTCTTAGTTTCGGTTTACTTTGCTTTTTTGGTCTCAGATTGATGATATGAACGTTAACTCCTTTGTTACTGCTCCACAGGTCTCTAGGACTCTGTTATTATTTTTTTCTGTATATGTTATCTCTGTTGCTTAGGTTGGGTTTATTTTATTGATCTTTCAAATTCTCTGATTTATCCTGTCTTTTCTACTCTACTGTTGAGCCTATCTCATGTGTTTTTATTTTGGTGATTTTCTTTTTAAGCTCTACAATTTCCATCTGGTTCTCTTCTATAACTTCTATTTCTTTAACTGAGATTTTCTATTTTTTGTTTCAAGAGAATTTGTACTTGTTTGTTGAAGCATTTTTATGATGGCTGCTTTAAAATCCTTTCCAGATAATTCCAGTGTCTGATTCATCTTGGAAATAGCATCTGTTGGCTTTCATGCTCTGATTTTCATGGTTCTTGGATGATGACTAAATTTTAAAACTTGTATTCTTGGCATTTTTTAATATTGTACTTTTCACTTCTGGATTCTACTTCTGTTTTTAGCAGTTCTCTTTTTAAGTAGTGGAGTGAAGGCTGACTAGGTATGTGTCAGCAATTTCTCACCTGAGTCTGTATCTTGGACAATATCCAAGCACATATTGAGGCCTGTGTGACTTTGCCACATTGTAGACACGGGGGATAAAAGTTCAGTCACCCCATGGCCCTCCCTGGTGGCGCAGCGGGTTAAAGCCCTGCACCGAGAAGCTAAAGCCACTTCCGCATGAGTTCGATTCCCGCCTGCCCCCCGGGAGGAGATCCACATGGCGTGGCAGACCTCTCCTGGCCCGCCCGCTGCTCCCCTCAGCAGTGTACTTCGTTGATCTGCCTGTTCTGTTCCTCACTCTGTCTCTGGCGAAGCTTCTCGCCGTCCCTGAGCCTCTGGCCTGTACCCCAGTTCTGTATGTACAAATAAATAAATCTTTAAAAAAAAAAAAAAAAAAAAGTTCAGTCACCTCTTTGGTCAGCTGATACCTCCATTAAAGGAGGGACACTTACATTGCTGTATTGCCTTTCCCCTAGGGGTATAGGGTCAGCTACGCCCTGAGTGCCCCTGGGGGAGAGAGGGGAGTGAGTGCTGCAGAACCACATCTCAAACAGTCTTGGTCAATTTCATTGATGCCAGGTGGGCACAGAGGCACAGCTGGCCCTCAGCAACACTCTCCTGACGCACAACTGGAGTGCTCTCTGCTTTGGCCAGATGATGGAAGATCAGCTCTGTTCACCTTTGCTGATACCACCTAATGGAGAGTTGGAGCATCACTGTTTGCAGGTAGGTAGTGATCTGTTGCCCATTTATCCATCCTTACCACGGGGAGAGAGGGACTCAGAGCACCACTGCTTGCTTCTGTAGGGCAGGAGGGCTGTGTGTGGAAGTCTACTTCCTGGCTGCATTTCTGGAGGTGAGCGGAAGGGTGGAGTGTGTGGGATTTGGTTGAAGTAGAGTAGGGATTGCTAAAAAGGTTTTCTGTTGTTAAGTCACCCACTTCCTGATCCTCTGGCTTAGGAAGAACCTTTTTCTTGGAGCTGTTATAGTTCATGTGCCTATTGGCAGTTCTGGGGGCTTCAGGAACTTTCTTGGGGTTATGTAGAAGCTAATTAGGAAACCCAGAGGGATGCCATGTGTCACCCACTGAGCCCCAAGAGCCTTAGGAAGCTGCCTTCTCTCCCCGTCCCAGTCTTCCTGTTTATTGGCTTATTCAGAGACTTTTAGGTGTCATTAGGAGAACATGGAAGAAGTGGGCCAACTCCATCTGCCATCTGAAGTGGTATTTCCCCTAATGGAAACATATGCATACTTTTGAGATTTTGAAAAATATAGAAAAAGATAAAGACAAAGCCACACCCTCTTTAATATTATTACCCAGAAATAACTGAACCTAATACTAAAACATTAATTCCTCATTTCCTCCCCTTCCATTCTCCATATACATGTCCTCTTACCCACGCCCAGGCATAACCTCCCAGAGGCATTGTTGCGAAGGCATGCCCATGGATTACGTCCTCTTTGAATGGGGTATTCTGAAGTTACATTTAACTTTGTAAATATTATATACCTCAATGCGTGTAACCATTCACTAATGATTAAGCATTTAGACTGTTTCTAATTTGGTACTCATGTAATATTGTGATCATGTTTGTATATATTTGTGCATATTTTTAATTATAATCAGGTCTCTTGTCTGGGCTCACTGAATTTATTTTTCCAGAATGATTTTATTTAATCATAAGTGCATTCATGAAATAGATTTTCTTGACCTCCTGCCTTGTGTCAGGTATCTTTCTAGCTGGTCATACATAAAACATCCCAGCTGCCAGAAAACTAAGATTTGGAGCCAGTTTTGTGATATCTTTCTATCTTCTTCAAAATTTGTCTTTTCCTGTGTTGGGGAGTCCAAGGTCCCTGTTTTTTTCCACATGGAAGTGTCCCTTCTCTAACCCGTTACCATGGATGAAGAAGGGGTCCCAAAACTTTTCATGTACTCAACAAGGCCCCCCCCCCTTTGGCCCCTCAACAGCCACAGTTTTGTGCTGTTGTCAGCTGGAACCACGAGGAGCAGACGTTTTGCTCTCTGCATCTGTGTGAGCCTGTCTCCCCACTAAGTCCCAGATTCCTAGATGACTGGTCATGCCGAGTCCCAGCTCCATCCCCCGGAAAGGCGCAGTCATGCCACCCTCTCCTTGCTCAGCATGCAGCTGGCAAGATATTTTCTGCTTTGTTCAGTTGTTCCTCCACCCTCCAAAATGTCAGCTCATGTGAGCAGGAATTTGTGTATTTAATTCACTTCTCTATATTGCAGCACATAACATACTGGATTCAGTGTACTTGACACTAGCAAAAGAGAATTAGGACTTCTTGCATTCTTGCTTAAGGGAAAGTCCTACTTATGGTGGGCTGAGGGCCTAGAACAAACTAGCTTTGGGTGGGTGTTGAGTGGCTTCTGCAGTGGATAACATGCATTCCTGGCTGATCCTGCCAGGAGGCCTCTTAGATGTGTTTCTTGAAACAGTCCAGCTTTGATTTAGCCCTCCAAGGTTGGCATCCTTCCTGGAGAAGCTCTCTGGAGAAGTGGCCGAGGAAGGAGACTCCCTGAAAGGCACCAGCTGGCACTTGAGATCTAGCTTTTCTTTTGCTTTTGCAAAGTTTTCGTGGCACAGCTGAGAATATTCCCAGAATTTTACCCAATGTTGCCTAATTACATTTTAGAATTTTGTTCAGTACCATGTAATTACATTTATAGCTTCGTTCTCTCATTATGAGGCCATGCGGGGGCGTGGAGGGGGTGAGTGGTTGTAGCAGATGATTCTGGCCACTTTCGTGCATGCACGAGTCTTCGTGTGTGCTGGAGAAGGCTTTCAGGCAGTTGAAGGCAAACTGGGCTTTTCCCTCTTAATAAGGAAAATGTATTACTGTTGTAAAATGGTAGGAATGTCAGAAGAGCAGAAAAGATCAGCATATGGACAGAAAGCAAGTATTCCAATCAAATAGATTGGGTTTAAATTTCACCCATGTTACTCAATAATTATGTATCCATACATTAGTCAGGTAATCTCTTAGCTCAGTTCCTACCTCTTGAAAGTGGAGGTAATTATTTGAAGTTCTATAAGATCAACTGAAATTAAAATGTCTAAAATAGAGCCTGTCACATGTAGACAATCAATAAATACTCATTTCTTTCATTTCTATTCTATTTTTGACACGTGAAAATGAAGCACTCTCCATGTCCAAGAGCATTTACCCCCTGTGTCCATGTTGGAACTTGGCATTGCTCACCGCCCAACACATTGTGAGACACAATCTGGTAGAGACAGCAGCTAATGGCTCTTCAGACAGCTGATGAGAATGAACATGCAAAGGAGGTGAAGAAAGCAGACTAAATGTGGGCACTTGCCCCTGCAGGGGAATAGAATTCAGAAGTGATTGCAGTGGGCTGTCCTTACTCACATTTTTCATTTTTTTGATGACATGAAGGAAATGGGCTCACAAGTGTCTCTGCTGACTCCATGTTAACCATTCCGTTTTCATTTCCACATTTCAAATATCCTAAAAACAAGGCCTGTATTCACAGGTATAGTTACAGCTTTCCTAGCCATTCGAAGGGTCCACTGGATATTTCATAGGTAATACTTGCAACCATTTTCATCTTTCGTACTGCCTGAGAATCTGGGAAGGGAGACTCTCCTGTAAGGTAGATAACATATTGGTCCGTAATCAACTAGCAAAATTTATATGTAATTATTCAAGGTAAGATTGCTCCTAGGAACTCTCACCTGATTGAAGACTAAGTTGTCCAAAGCTATCATTAAAATTGAATCTTGGAACACCCCTCATTGACTCCATAATCATGAATCATCACTCTGATTATAGTTTATTTTCTTCTGTGCCATAAGAATAATGTACTTCCTGGAATCTCCAATTCTAGTGGGTCTAATCCCCTTGGAAAGTTTTTTTTCATTTAAAAATAGTAAAGGTTTCTCTTCCTTTTATACATTTTATTGTGATAGGCTCTTTTTCCAATTAAGTTCATGACAGGTAATGCTGATTTACAGTATTGATCAAAACCTCTACAAATGGAATTCACACCAACACCTGCCCCACAGCCCCAGTCATCCCCTGTCGTCCTCCTTTGGGGCCCTCTGTCTTCTCCCACCCTATCACCTTCCCCCTTCCAGCGGCCCCAGTTTTGCTGTTAGATGTCTAGGATTTGTTATTGGCTTAATGTTATCTGACCCTTTGCTTTGTGTCCCTATTTTTAACATCTGAGTGAAAACACCCAGTATTTGTCTGTCTTCTTCTGACTTCACTTCACTTAGCATTACCCCTTCCAGTTCTGTTCATGTCATTGCAAGTGACAAGAGCTCACCTTTTCATAGCCAAGTAGTAGCCCATTGCGCATAAGTGCATTTTCCTCATCCCTCCAGGGCATGTAGGCTTTTCTCATAGCGTGGCTATGTGGCCAGGACTGCAGTGGCCGTGGGCGTGCACACGTCCTTCATTTTAGTGCTTTGCTTTTGTCAGGTACATACCTTGGAGTTGAGTTGCTGGGTAGATCTAGTTTTATTGCTTTCAGGTCACCATACTATTTTCTGCAGAGGCTAGACCTTGGCTGCAAACTAGTTTACGGACCAATGCAATTCGTTTGGGAAATTTACTCTGGAAGACCTCTCAGGAGGTGACTTGCTAGTTTGACAAGTGACAGTCTAAAAGCTCACCACTGGTTCCTCTCTTCCTACTTGAAACACGCTCACAGGGCAACTTATTGGAGTACTCATGACATGTTGGCGGAGAGACTTGGGCTAGAAAGAGCAACTAAGTTTTAGATCTAGAACTGGTCCTATGTGCCCTTCTGTATATACTAGTGAAAATACTGTAAAATCTTAAGTTTTGAAGAATCCTAAGATACTTTCCAGTATCACCTCTTCATTTAATTCAGGAATCTTTTTATTTCCAATCAGTTACCATTACATCTCTGGCTGCATTTCATTATCACATGAAGCAGTCTCTTCATTTAAAAAATATTTATGTTAAACTTGGAGGTAGTGAAACACAGAGATATAAAGTTATAATTAGGTGAGTTTTGATAAGTGTGTCTGCCTGTGTAACCATCACTCCAACAAAAAGTAATTATTTCCTCATTTGTCAAAGAGATGTGATTTGTAGATTATCTTTAATGTTAAAGCACTATGTGGTTGGAGTTCTTCATGCTCATCCTATTTATCTCCTCTGGAAACTGTTCTGACCAATTTCTTTTTTCTTGAAAGTCCTTCAAACGCTTGCATATTGAGCCAGAGAATATGAACTCTTCAACTCATAGTAAGTCTCAGATGTAAGTCTCAGATGTTCCAGCCTGATTCTAGGACATAAATGATTGTATTGATATGTCTAGGAAATCTAGAGAAGTGGCCCCAACTGCTTTTTTGCTGATCAATTGTGTGACCTTAAGAAGGTTTCTGTGTCTCCATCAGCTCTTATTTTCACCATAAAACGAGGATAGTATTTCCTGACGGAACTAGGAAGGACATAATGATACAATCTGTGTAGAATACTTAATGTATTTCCTGGTCCTCAGTCAGGGCTACAGTAGAAAGTATTTTAGGTAAAGTAGAGCTGAATATTATTAAAAAATCTTTAGATAAAACTTTTTTTCTAATTCTGTCTCCATTTTTGACAGGTATTAAGGAGTATAATGGAGCGATAAGAGGGCTAGTTTGGAATCCGATCACCTGGGTTTTAATCCTGGCTCATCTACTTAATAGTTTGTGACCCTTCAC